GAATCAAGTTGTATGAACGTAAAAATGGCCTCTACACCTTTTAGAGTTATAATATGTTCTTCTACTGCTTTCTCAAAGGATTTGCAAAGGGCTGTAAAGATATGTATACATCAGGTGGTAAACTCAGCACTGATGACTGAGACCAGGACTGCAAACATATTTATTTCAGGTCCTTTAATGCAATTGTCAGACTTCAAATTTAGAAGGAAGAAAAATGAATCCTCTTCCTGATTTTTGTTGTTATTTAAATTTTATACCTGCTTTCCCCCATCTCCCATTTTATTACATTGAAATTTACTTGGAGCTATCCAGGACATGAAAACACAAATCACATCATGCTGCCTGTACCCCAGGTATCCTTAACAATGGGCCACATTTCCTAGTCAGTTCCAGCAAGTCCATAAATCAGTGCATTAATTCTGCATTCCAAATGTTACTTATACAGCAGCAAGAAACAGACAGTGCTTGGTACTTGAAATCAGATTCTGGAATATAGCTAGGCAACAGCCCAGGTTTAAAATCTACAATTGCATGGTTAACTGTCCATGTAAACTCAGAGATAAGGTATTGCTCATATAAAGTCACTTTACTGTCATGTTATTTTCATGATGTTATACTGATCTTTCAGACTGGATAACCGTATAAACAGCAAGGAAAAGAAGCACCCCGAGCGGCTTATTGATGGAAAATACTACAGAACACCAGGTTCCCAAATTAATTCACAAAAGACACTTCAGAATGGAGCACAGCTATGTAAAGAACTGGAAACTGCCTCCAGTATTACTGGAAATCCTTCCCAAACTCTTGAACACTGCAAAGTAACAGAGCAATTTAAAAATCGGTGACCTGAGGCTGAGGAGAGCAGGAAGGACAAGACAACCTAAAAAGCCAATGAGTGAAGCTATGGTTCATTTGGGTAGCAAGAAAATTTTCCCTCAAAAAATCCCCGAACAAATAAAACCAAAACTAAACAAAACAACAAAAAAGCTAACACCCTCCCCCCCAAAAAATCCCCCCATCCTCCCTGCAAAAAAACCCCAAACCAGAACCAAAACCCAACAACCACCAACCAACCAACCAAAAAAAACCCCAAACCCAGGATGTTCTTTCCATTTGAGACAAGATTGAAAACTGCTGATTTTGTTCTCCTCTCGCTCCTTATTTTATTTCTGAAAAAAATCTGGTACTCGTTGTCCCAGCTTGGACATATTTCATTCAGCTAAAAAAACCAATTAAGTTTTGTCTTACCAGAAATACAGGGTTCCAAATCAGAACATAACTGGCTATTAGGTAGATGAAATACACTCAAACTGGAACAATGATTAACACAGAAATGTCCCTTTCTGAACCCAGTGAACTCAAAAGCTTTATTTACAGGGCTCCTTATGTTTAAACTGTACCACTTTTACTTAACAAGTATGAATCAAATGCTGTTAACTTTGGAGGAAGATTTAAGGAAAAGAAGGTACCTACTGAGAAGGTAAGAACTCTTCTTAAGAAAACTTTTAACTAAATACCTAGGGGGGGCTTGTTTGTTTGTATTTTTATTATTTTTACAATATGAACATTCATAATGTATCATGAAATACTGTGAATATAAATAAAAGCCAGTCACAAATACACACAAATTACTATGTGCTGTACATCCAGGAATAAAGTGGAATGATTTGAAAGCAGCAGAAACGCAAGGAGGCCAAGCATATCAGTGTGAGGGCAAAAAGAATGGTGTGACACACCTCACTGCAGCATTTCTGGAAGCATCTCTCTTCCCCTTTCACTTCCCGTGACACTATCAGCAGATACTCTGACTGCTGGGCCCGGCCACAGCTGTACTGGGAACCTATACTGACAAGCTGAAATAACCAATCAAAGCAAAACACAAAAAGAAACCTTTGTAAAGCTGAAGCACATACTGTTATCCAAATTGTACAAATAAGAGATGAGCTCAAACGTTCAGGTAACATTTACTTGCCACTAGAACAGGTTGCTACCAAGCTACAACTTTCATTTAAACATAGTTAAAATTTACGGAGGCAGTTGCAAAGCCCTTCGTAATTTCAAGGGAAGTTAAGAGTTACTGATAGTAAATCAGAAAACTCACTGTGGTGTAGCCAACTACTCTGAAAAACATAAAGTTTGGTGCATTGTGAAAGTGAGCATTATTTTCCTGTCATACCTGCCAAGTGCAGAAGGTAACATGGATAAGACTGGAAGGTGTTATGTAAAGCAATATAACAAGCCTGGGTATGGAAGAACGTAATCTTGTTCCAGATACTGATAAACAAAATACAGCTAGGAAAACATATTAAGTCAACTAGAGGAAAAAAAAGCTGAGTACTCTAAATAGGTTTTAGAAGGGGTAATTTACAGAAGATCCAAGAAAATAAGTGGAGTAAAAAAAATTGTCTGTCTCATTCCCATAAACATCAGTACCAAGAACTCTGCTGGCACGTGCCAAACTCGAGGAATTCTGGAGTTTAGAGCATCAGCTGAATTTCTCAACTTGTTATCACAAAAAAAGTTTTGTCTTACTAACACACGGCAACTCCTAGCCCATTTAAATTCAAGCACAGCCTGCCAGTGCGCTTGAGAAAGATCAGAGTTTTAAATCAAGTGTGAAGAACTAGACAACTGCCTATTCTGAGTAGTGATTACTACTGATGAGAAGGCTCATGAACAGCAAATTTATTTTTATCCTGCTATTGCTGCGTGAATAATTTTGAAGGCAGCAGCTACATACTGTCCTCCTTATGCAGTGAACATATTTAAGACAGCATTATGGTGACAGACTCAGGTTACATTAATCATTAACATTTACATGACTGACACACCACTGCTGTCTGAAGCCTTTGTACGTAGCAATTTTGCATGGCACCAAGTTCCTCATTATGCAGTATTGCCTAAACAGTGGGTTTTTCTGATTGCCTGAAGAGGTAACAACTGAAACTAAAAATCATCTACAAAATAACCCACTGGTATCACCAAGTGGGGCAGCACAACTATTGGCAGTAGCTTTTGGGGCTGGGACTGGTACATAATTGCAGCATTCTGGCAGCACTTTCACTGGTATTCTTTGGGAAAGTGCACCAATACAGCCGCAAAAATGTTCCAGAAGTTTAACACCTTCCACTCCTATTTAACCATCACATACAATTGTATTTTACAGGAAAACTTTGAAATGTCAAGGGGAAAGAAATATTTTTGATCAAAAGCAACCACTTAAACATGTTATATGGGGCACAGAGCACAAGGACTCTCAATCCACAGGAATATTACTTCTCTGAAAAAGCAGCTGATTTCTATCCCACCAATAATATGTACAAAGCACAGCAGGTGCCACCCCAAAGACTGCTTCTGAAGGAAGCATGCTGCTGAGCAACACAGGTTTAGAAAAGGTAAAATATTACAGAAATGCTACAGCGTTCTTAAACCTTAATAATAAAACTGTTTAGATTATACAGAATATTCTAATCGTGTTTCAAGGGAATGATGTCTGCTAAAAGCAGGTCTGCAGTACAACCAAAGGAGAGAATGGCCTAGTCTGAGGTAACAAGGAGCTAGCTGAGCATTATGAGACTATACGGCTATTACGTTTATCTACTTCAACCTGCGTCCAAGAGAGTGCAACATGGGGGAGGGAGGAAGTCGGGAGAAAGCTGGATGAAACAAGGACATAATGTTCAAGAAAACCACTGGAAGTTTCCACTTTAGAAAGAGCTTCTAAAATCCAGAAGAGATTATCATAGTTTTTCAGCAGCTGCACTGTCACAGCAGGATTATTCACAAATACGGTATCCCCAAAGAATACAAGGCTTTAGGACAGGTAAAAGCCATAGTAGCATTTAAGCTGTTAAAAAGTGAAGGATCTCTGTTGTAAGGAAATCTGGTTTCTCATGCCAAAGAATGTCAAAAAAATGTTGTCAATGCACTGGACAGAAAAAAATAAAATAAAAAAAAATCACGTGCATTAAGTGAGAGCTTTTTTCGGGGACTTAAACCAGCTCCTGGCTCCTGGCAGACCAAACAGCTGGTAATTCTTGAGCCAGAGAACTGAAGCACATGAAAACTTTCTCACTGCTAGGTTAGGTTATTTAGATTATTGTTATAGATGCATGGCTGCGCATCACAACACCAGCACTTCACACATTTCATCAAATATAAGCAAAATATTCTCTTTTACCTTTGTGTGCCATACTTTTAAAAAATGTTGCTTTGTTGCACTACTACAGTGAGATTGCACAGGGTAAAAGGCTTGTGCTTATTCCAATCTCTCCTACAGCTGGCATCAGACACTGGAAAAGATGCTGGCGGCTGAGCACATGTGTCTCAATCCAGAGTTAACAGCTTCATTACTCCAGTGCAGTTTAAATATTCTTGTAGGTCAGGAATGTGAAGGATGAAGAGGCCACATAGTTTCTTAATTACAAAGATTAGCAAAGATAACAGAAAGATCTTCTTGCAATTTTACAATGTATCCTTGAATGTACACACAAAGCTATTTTTATGCAGTGCAAAGAACGAAAACATTCATGTAGTTCATACCTATCCAGCTTCACCTCCACGTTGGTCAAATTCACCCTCCTATGTGTATCAGTCCTTTATCTGGAGAACCATTGCTCAGGCCTGACAAGCATTTACCTCCCAAGCTCGTCTCTTTTACCCAGAGCTCCTCATATCTGATTCATATAAACTTGTGTTAGTTTGTTTTGGTTTATTCACCCTTCAAATGCTCATGTGTAGATACCGAAGAATTACATTTCAAACATGATGTAGATGTCAGCACAATTTACCTCCTGGAAACCTAGTTTAGTTGTTTGGGTTTTTTTCTCTGACAAATAAGAATACAAATATCAAATTTTAACTTAACTGTGTATCTTTTTCTATCCAGTTTCTGAAAATGACTGAACTCAGAAAGATGCATAGATTTGCCTTTATACTCCTCTCTCACATAACTGCATTTTCAGAAGACTTTGTAATTATATCCCATATGGGTTTTTTACCTGTTCAAATTTCCAGCCATCAGACATTGTGGAAACCATTTGAGTGAGTTCCTCTTCCTGGCACTGCAGTACCCTGTACACATGTTTGACTGGCACCTTTAAGAAGAAATATAAGATGCTCAATACAGCACGGAATTCACTATGTTTGTGACTTGTCTAAAGTTGCCCTTATTCTTTAGAAATGGTAAGTAACAAACACCACCTTAAACACATTGTCCTTTTGGGGTTCGGAGTCTTTGTTGTTGTCGTTGGGTTTTGTTTAAGAAATCTCATCTGTTCAGAATCATTTTCCAGAAGACTCAATACTTCATGAATGCTTCAGAGACTAAAAGTGCTACTTAACAGATAGAACAAAGTAATCTTAAGACTTACCTGTGGTTCCATGTGGTAGCAAACCTCATCATTCAGAAAGAAGGCTGAGGTTCTAAAGAGGCCTACCTAACTTTAAGGAATGTCTGATCATATTAAAAATGTCATTATTCCCCTGTGAAAGTTTCCCATCCAGAGCAATGAATAACTAGGGCCAAAACCTTTAGAAAATATTTTGAACAATTCTTTAGAAGGTTTTCATGTTTTAAACAAGAACTGGAACCATACACTGTGCCCTGGGTAAGGAGACTGGGACATATTGGCAATTAAAAATATTAATCTTTGTGTAGCACTGGCTCCGGCTCAGGCAGTGCCAGAAGCAGACACTTCGTGTCTTACTGGGGAAATGAGCAGTTAAGGGGGGAAAAAAAAGTGGAGCCCACCCCCTGTTTGCCACAGAACAAATAACCCAAAACACCCCAGAAACAGCCTCACCTGTGAGATTTTGCTGTCTCTTTCTCTTATTTTGTCCTTTACCAGTTTTATTAGTGACGTGATATTGTAGAATTCAGCCTCTTCCAGTACACCTAGTATGAGAACAGTTTTTGGAAAAGAGTGTAACCAAAGATTCCAGGCCAAAACCACCAATCAGTTCCTAAGATTATCATCTCTACAGCTACAGGAATTACTTCTTTTGCCCTAGGAAGTTCATTTCCTAATGTAACAATTCCGGCTTCCTTCAGGCACATGTAGTTCGACATTTAGCTCATTCCAAAAAACTGCCCCAGAGAAAACTGATACCATTTCACATACAGAATGAGAGGCAGGAAACAAACAACAAGGCAAAAGGAGCACAAATGCCAATGGTAGCAGAGTGACAGCCACCACAGCTCAGGCCCTGCCTCCGGCCGCAATACGCAGGAGAAATTCAAATATTCCTACTGAAAAGCTCTGCAGCTGCTCGTTTGCAGAAAAAATTTCTTCCTGTCACTGAAACAAAAGCATAAAGGTACATACTAAAGACAGCTCCCACTCCCATGCTCAAGCCTTACCTGTTCTCCACACATTCTACGTGTTTAACCGTGCACTCGGAAACTACCTGCCACATTATTTCCCACTACTATTGTTAAATTCTATTTCTTTTTGGCCAATTTCTTCCACACTTTATCAATACAGTTTTAGTACTACGGTTTAAAAAAGTCAGTGTCCATTAGGGCAAAACTGGTATGAATTTGGGACAGGGAGAGAGAATCTGGGAGCAGAATTCACTCTTCAAGAGTATATTCCACGCATCTGAACGTCCCAGAACTTCACTATTACTTCACTTCACATCTTCTAAAACTTGTTTCACAGCCAGTATTCTTGTGCTTGAAGAGGACTAAACCCAAGTATTTCATGCAGTCATACAGGAAATAGACAAGATTATAGGTTAAAAGGCATCTGCCCTCATGTTTGTGTATTTATGTTCCAACTGGCGATAGGAGTTGTGAAATCAGGAATCATACTCAAAACACTCAAATACTAGCATATACTATAACCGCACAATACCCACCAGCTTTGCTTGCAACAGATTGAAATGCTACATTGATTAAGATGTACCTGTAAATTACTTTTGGTGACTCAAAAGTGGTGAAAATAATAAGCAAGTGCCAAGAAAGCAAGAGATTTAGTAACATCTTACCTTCCTCAGCTAGGTCCTTGTTAATAACCAGTTTGCCATGCCTGAGATAGTTCAGCACTGGCCCAAAGTAGGTTGGGTCTCTGTCTATTAAATAGGCACCTGTTTCATCCTAGAGTAGAAAAACAGAACAAAACAAACAAACCAACCAAAGAAACAAAAGAACCCAAACCCACACACAACCTCCCAACAAACAAACACAAAAGCCAAAAAAGCCCACAATGACTTGAACTACCAAGCAGGAATTGCAAGCTAATACTCAGTTTGGCATCTGAACAGCAAGCAGATATTCACAGTCACATCCCCTAAAGCCAGCTTTATTAAAGACATTAAAATGAATTCCACAATGTTGTTGTAATTGTATCAGACTGGCCACACAATTCAATCGTGTACTACACAACTTCTGCTACCTGATCTACTCCTGCCAACCCCTTATCAAAAGATTATCAACACTGTTAGCATGAAAGGTTTAAGTGGTAAGAGAGAATGCTAAAAATTAAGTTAAAATTAACAGATTAAACCAGGAAACTATCTTTTTTAGTTGAAAACCTGAAGCGTCAGAACAAAGGCTACATTACAGTGAGGTCTGGATACCAGCTTTTGTTTGGTTGTTGTTTCTGAAATTGAAGGCAAACAAACTTTAACCTCAACACTTTGTTTTAAAAATATGTGGTTTTGTCTGAGCTCAGATATACAAATACTCACAGAAACCAGTGAAGCAGGAAAGGAAGATCTAAAACTTCCAGTTAAGAGAGGTAGGTTAGAAACAAGGTTCAGTAAGCTTACTGTAATCTTTTACACTGCAGTGTTTCCTCACATGACCCTCTGAAGCAACACTGACCATTAGCTCTACACCATTACAGACATAGACAGGTGAGTTACAGAAGCAAATTAGCTGAAAGCTCTAAAAGAACTGGTTGCTCATGGCCTGGATGGGTGAATTCTTTGCTGGGTTAAAAACTGGCTGTATGGCAGAGTCCAAAGTGTGGCGGTAAATGGTGTCACATCTAGTTGGCGACCAGTCACTAGTGGTGTCCCAGGGCTCTGTGTTAGGGCCAGTGTCAGCATCTTCACTGATGATCTGGATGAGGTGATTGAGTGCACCCCCAGTGAACTTGTGGATGACACCAAGTCAGGTGGGAGTGTTGAT